GAATAAAGCCGTCGCTACTTTGTTGCGTCTGAACACGGTAATGAACTCAACTGATACGCTCATATGCCTATTGGTCCGTTGTACCTTCGAGTTCACTGAGCCACGCATATATCAAAAGACAAATGCTGGCCTGTGACTGTAAGATATTGCATTGTATTACACTAAATAGTTTAAGAAACAACACATGATATTTATACATTTTCTTTACCATAATAAAGTCGACTCACAACCATGAGAATGGATTGTTCTTATTGGCTGAAAATTTCTATTCTCGTGGCTTGGCGACCCGACAAAGACCAAGATGAGACAAAAGACGATGAATTGATCTCACACACTAAATCACAATATGCGTGAGAAATGATACACTCACATAGTAACTCCAACACAAGATAAATCACATGATTCATAAGAATGGGTGGTATACTATTTTAGCTGGATTCTATCTAGTTTCCACATCCTCAATCGTGATCCCAACTATAGTTGAAACGATTTCGCCTATATGGGTGACGGAAGTCAACTCTTTCAAATTTATCCCGGTCACGGTGACTAATGCTTGTTGTTGTTGTTGGTTGGTTATTTTCATCACCTTCATCCTTTGTATATCCACTTGAATTCCTGTTTTTGGTATCCCCCTCTTCTCCCAACCTTATGGTATTCAAACAGGCAACAACTGTGAAAAGGCAGTATTGAATCAAGTTATAAATTTCAGTAGCACTTGTCAGTTGAATACTCTACAAACATTGATACTTATACAATTTCTTACGGTTAAACACAAGAGTATTGTAACAACAAATAAGTATCGATTTCAACAATTATATGATCTGTGAGTAGTGAATGATAATCTGTTCACATCATTATTAAGCGAATAGTATTATTGTGGTAGAATTATACACACAGTTATACACAATCAGATTTGATAATTTGGAAATACACAGAAATTTCGTGAAAAAAACAAGTGAAACATACGTAAGCCATTATAGGACTAAATGACAAGATTTTACCATCTCTGATTTAAACTCACCAGATAGTTGGAACACTCCTCAGCAAGATTAATTAATACTCAACTATGATTTCCGATTTGCATATATCCTAAGAAAACTCAAAGAATGTCACATAAAATAATGATACTGTGGTGAGAGCTGTCTGTTAGGCAAAAGTGGTAGACAGTAATTTACGTCCCCAATATTGGTCGTGAGAAAAATAAGAACAAAGACTGATTAAACAATCAATCACAGCAGAGTTTGCTTAGGCAGATATGATTTGCAGATGAATAGTCTGAACTTCAAGAAACGGCCACAAAGAGATGAAAGATTAACGTTCAGAGAGAAACCATCAATCAGAAGACTGTGTTTTCCTGCTAACAATAATCTACAATAATGTACGTGAAAATCAAAAAAATATCTGTTGATTTCGTAAATAAACAATCTGTTGCCTGGCCCTTGTATTCTGTTTTTACAATACTACTACTGAAACGGTAGAAGACGGAGGACTTGGTAAAGGAATGTTTATTTGGAAACTAATATTTCTAAATAGCCAAACTGTGTACAACTGACTGACTGGTTTCAGCGTAGAACTTTGCACCGATGTGCAGCCGTTCGAGTCGCCACGCTTCACTTAGCACACAAAGCAAGAGAAGAAAGTAAAAAGAAATGCAAAACAGAAACAGTAAACAGAGACGTGAGGCAAAAAAAATAGTAGTATCGAAGAACAATATAGTTTTATTTAATATTATAAGCTACAAGGAGTGGATGCATCTGCGCCAGCCATTGACAACGAAGATCTTGAGCCATATCACCAACTGTCTCCAGCCTTCCTTGGCTTTTACCGTCCCGAGGACCTCAACCAGTCGGGAAGTCTAAACTTTCCTACATGCATAGCTGGCTTAAACTAACTGCTGTGGATTTCACTGACTGATGAAGCCATGCTTTTGTTTGAACACCACTAGCTCTTCTCCAACCTGCCCTGTGTCAGCTAACGTTGCCCGTCGAGGAAAGTGATGACTAAGCTACGCATGCGTAACACCTTTCCTAACCATATCACTCAATCGATGTAACTTCACAGGCTGGTTGATTGGTTTCCCCTACTTAACTAGCACTCAACCAATGCCTAATCTCAATATTGCTCACCTGATCATTTAACTTGACACGGGAAATGGAATGTAGACACCTATGATTAAATACGACTAGCCAGGTTTTTCATGTCTTCCACTCTCAATGACCAGGTCTTACAGTCATAAAGGAGGACGGAACGGACTGTTGAGCAGTACACACGCCCTTTGGTCGATGACCAGCTGGATATCTCGTCTACGCCAGAGGCGGCGTAAACTGGCTCATGCAAATTATGTACACCTCATCTTCAACGCACCATTTGCACAGATCTTCCGTGTTGTGCCTGCTACTTCTGTCCTTCCTTCATGTTGTTTTTCTTTGTCTTCCTTTCAACAACAACATATTTGAAGACATCAAACTCACTAGAGAAGAAGAATTAGGTAAGAAAATCCCATTTTTAGATGTCTTAATCAGGAGAATCAACACAGGAAATTTAGAAACACAAGTGTATAGAAAATCAACTCACACAGATCAAATGCTCAACTATACTAGCAATAATCCAATTACTCACAAAAGAAACTGTGTGCAGACATTGTTTAGAAGATTTCAAACACATTGTAGCACTCCAGAGTGGAAAAGAATGGAATTAAAATGCCTACAAACGGCCTTCAAAAAGAATGGTTATCCACAAAATTTCATCAAAAAGTGTTTAAAATCGAATCACAACACCAACAAGGAACCATCATCAAAGACCACAAGAAAATTCAACCTACCATACATGAAAAATATCCTTGAAATAACACCTAGAATACTGAAACCGTTTGATATAGATGTAGCACACAAGCCAGTCAAATCGCTTAATTCGATATTATGCAAACCGAAAGACACATCCAACAGAAAAAGGAGATAAAATCAATACCATTTACAAAATAAATTGTATGAACTGTAACAAGCATTACATCGGCCAGAGTGGACGTCCCCTTCGAATCAGAATCCAGGAACACAAATCAGCCGTCAAAAGACACGATATATATTCTTTCATATCAGTGCATATAGACATTTGTGGACATCAGTTTGATCAGGATAATGTCAAAATCTTAGACAGAGGAAACACCAAAAGTGCCAGGCAATTCCCAGAAGTACTCAAAAGAAAATGCAATTAACAAACACGTTAATATAGACGAAATATACCACCTAATAAATGTGAATCATGTGACCACAAAGTTTAAAATCCAAGTCAATAGATCAATACATGGTGTATACATATGTAAAGATGGTTACTGGGAGACGCAATTATATCACTCATGAAGAATTTAAATCATTTCACTTTATGCTAAATATTGCGCTGAAGATGTTGTCCAGAAGGACGACGAAAGCTCCACAACTAAACCAACCAGCTTAAAGAACACTATTAATTGCAAATTATCCACCTGAGCTACAAATCTTCTCTATTATTTCAAATTTAAGTTATCTTTAGAATTACTACAAAGTGTCAAGTGATGTATCACTCGCAAGTTTAACATAAATCTGCTGAGGACAGTTTTCTTCTGAATTCATTGTACTGTAGAAGCCTTCGATGTTTGCATAGAGGAACCGGAGCTATGTTCAAAAAAGGCTAGTTCAACTTCTGCATACACTGTAAATCCAGGGTTTTTAACTTCATCAGTTTTCACTTATAACGTATTACTTCGATTTTCTCTGCGTACATGGTGATCACTCCTACAGATTGAAGACTTCGCTGGTTCCATATTGAAGGTCAGATGACAGGAAAGAATTACCAACAAGAAACTCTGCAGTGGAACGAACTAAATACCTACTGCTTAACGAATATTTCCGAGAAAATAGAGATAGGTCGGATACACACTGAGGAGACCATTGTATGACCACACGCGAGCCACGTCAACACTCGAATGGAACCCAAATAGGGAACGACAAGATGGGTTTCGGTCCCAGGGTGTCATGGAGACAAGAGACTATGGAAAATCTTGGGGGCAGCTAAATAGAACTGCAGAGAACAAGACGGAGTGGAGATATGCTTTTGAAGCCCTACGTCCCACTTAGAACCCAGGAGGATAATAACATTAATGATACATGGTGGTCACGTCTTTCAGATTAAGTTGAAATCTCATTGTGAATTCAGTTTCGTGATGAATTATTTTCCAAACGCATAATTTAACTAATATGACTTGGACAAGTTGTACGTACTGGAAGCTACAAGTCACAGGAATAATTAGTACTTCTATATTGGCTTAACACCTCCTAGATGTCCTAATATACCATGAGGAGAAAAGTATATCTACACAGTTAGACGCATGAAAACTAACTACGGTTAGCAGCCACAGAACATACTATTCTACAATCTATTCGTCTAATCGTTGCAACGAATTTTCCTTAAATTTCAATTAGACAAAAAAGACAGGTGGTTATAGGAAAATTTATTCATGGTTTTCTTTATAATCATGTACATTCCGTAAGTATAGGCAGATAAGGAAAGGCACCAAGAAATAAAAAATATATACAAAGGTAAAGGAAGTAAGGATACAAAAGTTCATCGGTCCGCTGATGATGATGACGATGTAGACGTATGTTCACCCGGCTGCACGCACGCTTCGCGTAGATAACAGTATATCTGAAGGAACACATCCTTACATTTCTCCGGGTGTGTCTGTCCAAGACTCGACATTTTATATGATATTCCCTGTATAAGGTTTTCCAAGTCTGTGTTTTCATTTGCTGTCGGCTGAGATTCGATGACAATGTAGTTATAATCTCTTAACCACCTGGTGCTATGTCTAAATAAGTCTTTCACAAATTTATTTGACATTTATACTAACTTACCTAGTTTTGGATATATATGAAGGAAGGTATAAACTAAGTGACGACATGGTAGCAGCATATTTGTATTTTGGAAACATGAGCACTTGCAATAATGCTTGTCTACAAAGAATTGTCTACCGCCTTCTTTAAATACTACAGTTACTTCTGTGGATTCGGTAACCTGCATATCAGGATGCTTCTTAATACTTTTGTAAAGCGAATAGGCAGCGTAGGAGGTCATACGCCTAAGTATGCTAGAAAGACCTTCATCCACCTGAAAAAACCATTTTAGTTAACTACACGAGTTACGTCGAACTTTATAGAGTACCGAAGATTGCGATTTCCTTCAACAGCATTTCGTCTTGATGACTCAATTGAACACTCCCAAATTTCACGAATGATCAGTTCCAGTGGTTTAGGTTTGTTACTTAGATGTTTCCTGAGGTGCTTATGATAGCACTCGACTCTGTTATTAGTTTTATTGCCAAAGGTAACGACATATGCATTAAAACACGACGCCCACATATGGCGACAACTCCATAAATTTGTAGTGATGTAGGACATAGCCTCAGGATGCTCTGTACTCATCGATAATTTCAGTGTATAAAATCTATGAAACAATTTATCTGAATACATAAATACCTGTCCCTCTTTCGAGTGTACACCATTTCATTAAGTTTACTTCTGCATTCAGCATCACGGAACTTGAATAAATTCAGTTTTAAGAAGCACCAATTACTTTATTATTGAAGGTTCTGATGATACTGCATGCACATAGTACAATAGAGCAGACAGGGAACTGACTACGAATGGCCCCTAGCTCTACAGAACTGTTGTCAATGACAAATGTAACAGTCTTTGATGTATCCCCCATAATATGCTTGAAGGACTGTAAGACTTCCTCAACATCAATCAATCGATCACGATGAGTTATACTGTACATTACAGTACAATTTCTATTCAACCCATCAGTAATAACCAGTTGGTATAGAAGATAACTGCAAATGAAGTGTTTTGTATCGTATGCTTACCCTTCTCCATTCGTAATGTACATTGAGTTCATACCAACAACTTCAGGAAATTTTTTATACAAAGTTATCATTTCCTTGGTTGCGAAACTAAACTTCTCGACATGTCGCTGGTTATCCATCTTGTACCACACTGTCCCTGTCTCACGAATTTCGCTTATGAGCGTATCCAAACTACACATTTCTATGCAAACTGTTTACGCAATTAAATGACTTACTAGGGTAGACAATTTCGTGAAAATGCCGATATTCATCATACGTCATATGGTTCTCCAATTCGACATCAACCACGTTGACCTTTTGTGCACGAGGTTCACTTCGTTCAGTGGACGGCAGCACTTGTAATTTCTGTTTACTACGGAGTTTTGGAATTTCTGGCTCCACAGACATTATCACCTCCCTCGTCAACGCGTGGTTATGTATAGTGTTGATGGGCTCGGCTACTTTATACTGCCCGAATTCAAGCTGAATTCTGAAGGTGAATAGACAATCTATACACTTCGACCTAAAATATGAAGTCTGCACGTCTTACACTACTTACTTTGATCTTTCTCTTTGCCTGCTTTCCCACTTTTTTCTGCGATCACCGTGACAACAAAAGACAACATATAAGTATTTATATGCTGGATCTACCATGTTGTTTTCATTTCGATAAACCCGACAGTCGCATATTTCGTAAGAGCTACCAGTTTTCTGTAGAGAACAGTTAAGTAATTTGTGGAATTGTATAAATGCGTCACCTCTTCGAAACGCCGTATACATTCTTCACACTCCTGCCAACTCTTTAGGCTTCGATATCGAACCAATTCATTGAATTCAGTGGATAAATCCACGGAAACAACATCTCTTTCCTCTGTCATAATCGTATGTGTAGTCAGTTATTCGACCAACCGACTAAAGTGTCCCCATAAAATATAAAAGAAACCAAACAATGAGTATCGTTTGAAAGTGCCGCAACTGTAGTTTCACAGGTGATAACAAGCCGACCAATCACAAACAGCAGTGTCAGTTGTCCAGCTCACAGACGAGCAGGGAAGATAACGTCCATCCACAGATTGCCAATATTCTACCGGGTATATCAGTCACTTATCAATTTTACTGCTGCTCAAATTTCATGGTGAGAAATGACATACATTTTGGAGAAAACCTAACTCATATTTCTAGTGGAAAAGGGGTTTACCATTGAAAGCATCGTAGATAGTAACCAGGGTATCATCAAGCAAAAAAACTTGAAAATGTAGCGAAGTAATCGCCCTTTTGCATCATTGCTTGCAATCTACTCAGTAAGTCCGCCTTCTGAAGGCCAAACGAGTTGCTTTCTATTAATATAGACGTGATATGACGCATTTGCTGTTTCCTTTTCTTGTCGTCTGAGGAATCTGGCATCAGAAGCAAATTGAGAAATAAATTCTAGATAGTGAAGCTTTTATGGTGAGCAATTATCATGCTTTGTGTTCACGCTTTTACTAAAGGTTTGTATCTGTGTGGATGGTAAGACTATTCCGTCGATCATTCAACGAAAAAGTTGAGCCGCATGATAAACAGCCGATGCCAGCTAATGATGGAATCCAGTAACCAGTCAATCAGATCCCAGCGAACTGCAGTGCCAGTGTCCAGCAGTAATCTCTAACAAAGAGAGAAGCGCACGTTAGCAGGGTGATCGCACAAGCCCCACCTGCTTGTAAGAACGAAGATACAAGTTCGAGGATTGTATTTACAACCAACCACAATGCAGTTAGGTGAGAAGGGAAGGGTTTTCCAAGTGGTCATCCATTACATCGTCTTGGGTGACCGTTCCCTGCCCGCCACGTAAGAAACCTGAAATTAGAAAAGTATTCATTTTAAACACTGGGAAACCGCCTAACCTGCCACGCCTTACACTACTCCCTCTCCCATAGAAGCACTGCCCATGGTGCTAGATGACTGTTACTGCAGGACTAGCCTGTACTAAGGCTTGTTGGCGAAAAGGTTTTGGTCTACAGAAATGTGTGACTAGATTATGAGCTGAATTAGGCTCCCGATCCTACAGGTGCAGTTACTAAGTACCTCCACTACTGTAAATGGTCTTTCCTAACTTTTATGGAATCCGAGTGCCTTTCCTTTAGGTGGTACCTCCCTTAGTGCCATTGCCTTGCCTCCCAGCTCCACAGTTGGTCCATGTGCTTTCTTATCGTGGTATTCTTTCTGGTATCTCTGATTTTTTTGAAGCATATCTCCAGTAATTTCGTTTACCTCGTTCAGGGTTCGTCCGGCCTGATTACGTGCTCTGCTGCTATCAATGTGTCCTCTTTTAATGTATCTCAAGTCAGATCGACTGGGAACCGGAGTTTTCTTCAGGCGACCATATAATGAGGTGCTTGACTTGTAGCTTTGTGAGTGCTTGCCCCGTACGCCACTAAGCGCTGTGAGTGATCGGTCCAACTCCCTAGGGTTGTTTAAGTCTAAACTCCTGTTAAGTGCCCAACTTGCATATGCTACCAGCCTTACTGCTCCATCTACATTTTTTGAGGCAGAAAAGCCTAGATGCCAATGTTGCTAACGTCTGTATCTTGGATGAACGGACCTACCTGGTCACAAAAGTTGGTATATGCCAGGACGAGGGGATACGTAAAACAGCTTTTAAGTCTTTCGAAGGCTCTGGTAACTGATACTGTCCAAAAACTATGTAACTCTGGAGCTGGATTTGGGAACGAAGAGTTTTCAGCTTCCTCAAGTTTTGCTGGATCACATTTGATGCCTTCAGCTCAGACGATGTGACCTAGGAAACACTCTTCTTTCCTGAAAAAACTGGCGTAATGTTGGGTTTAGTTTTAACCTAGCTATTTGCATTTGTTCGGGTACTTCGGAAATATCACCTACATGTGCAGTCATTGTCTTACTATGTATCGGAAAATCGCCTGGATATACCAAACACTTACCCGGTATACAACTACTCATGACCGTTTGCCTGAGGCTTTGAAGTGCCGCTGGGACATTCACTAACCTAAACGGCATTGCTGCAAAAACACAAGCCTGATTATACGGTAAACGCTGTTTTTTGCCTGTCCTGTGGGTTTACTTCCACTTGCCACTATTCCGATCCTAAATCTAGGGCATTAAACCAATTCAATTTCCCTGGGGAATCAAAAGTGTCATCTACATCGGGCAGGGAAAAAGAATCTCGTCTAGTTAGCTACCCGAGTTAGCAAGTTCTCTAGGTGTCATAACAAACGTCCCATTTCCATTAAGAAAACTAAAGCGCCAGAGGTGTCCAAGCAATAGAAACCCTACGTAGCATACGGTGGTACAGTGGTTAGGACTCTCGCCGATCATGCACATGGTCCGGGGTGCGATCCCCTGCCAACTCACACCCGATATCTATGGTCGGCCTGCAAAATTTGGGCTACCGATATCACATGCTGAAAATTCCGTGCTTGTACAGAAAATACGGTGTGGAATCAAACTGTAATCAAAATGAAATAAATAAAACTTCACTGTTAGCCACCATCGGCCAGGTAAATATAGGAAAGGGGATACCGAAGTAAATAAATTAAATTCCGAATTCAGAGGGCGAAAGACCATTGATATGACAGAGGCGCAAGCGCCTCCAAGCCACCTTTCTGGAAGAAGATGAAGCTCCTATAGGTAAGTTTAACTGGTCCCAAATGGAAGTCCAACTATGTCTAAACATTACTTCCAGACAAACAACACAGCGAGGTGGTCGGAATTATTCCGCTAACCCACTACGCGAACCCATTATCAGCCAGCCCCCCGAGAATGTTCTGTCAACTGAATGTTATAGAAAATCCCCTAAACATCAGTTGTGCGTCAGTGGCACAGTGGTTAGTACGCTCGCCAACCATGCACATGGTCCGAGGTTCAATCCCCGGCCGACATACGCCCGGTATCCGTGGTCGGCTGCTAAATTTGGGCTACCGATATCCATGCTGAAAATTCTATACTTGTATCAAAAATACTGTGTGGAGTCAAGCTATAATAAAAAATTTAAAACTAAATTAAATTCAGTAAGCTTAACAAATCCACGGAACCCAATCATACACCCTATGTATTTGGTGTAGAGTATGTGATGGTGTCTGCAAAACTTTCTGTGGTCTGAAAACAATCTCAACCAAATACCAAGGCTTCAGTCCTTTTCTGGCAACAAATTACTGAATGCTTATATCGATTATGACTTTCACAATAACACTGCCTTTACTAACCGCTTCGGGCAGGATTTTCAACGGCACCATTTAACGGAAACACCTGGAATCATGCATGTGGCATGCATGATATCGCATCGATTCCTCACTGTTATAGCAAACAGTCAACAGCTAGTACCAGGCATATTCCCCAAAAGATAGCTGATATACTGTTGACACCAAACGCGGATACTAATATCTCCAGTTATCACACAGGTGTCTCTCTTTGCACGCCTCATTTTAAAAGACAGGCCACCTCTGACCACCACCTAACAAACCTGCCTAAAGTGTTCTTATGATCCAAAAACGGTGGTTAGTGAGTCTAAAACATATATACAGAGAATAGTAACGAAGCAGTTATTAGGCTGTTGTCCACGCACTAAAACCATGCTGCCAAAGTTTATCCACAAAAACACTGAATCAGATATAGGCAAACGCTTAACACTAAGGGCATCAACTTCCACATGAAGACGACATTGATTGTGATCACTGAAGCCTCGCGCACAGAGTGAAATCTCTCCTCACATCCAAGAAAAGATAACCTAAACCTATTCCGAGAGGACTGTCAAACGTCCAGGTCTAACTACACTGGACTTTACGCTGTCCTTAGAAGGCTTTCAGCGATTATGTCCAATAACCAACGTGAAAAACCAGAACACGGATTAACGAACAGCGAACGACGGAACGGTGGCTGGAGTATCGGTTACTCCCACCAAAATATGGAGTTAGGTTGAGCAAACAAATAGAAAATGGATTTAGGCAGATTTTTATTGGCTGTTGGCTAGCTGGCTTCCTATTTGTCTATAATATAAGTTAAAGCGCCAATCTTTTTATTTTGACATGGAAATTTACAGTCAGTGTCATCAAAGTCTCATAAACCGTTAATGCCCAGCTCTCGCTACGCTCGGGCCCACGCTGTTCTTAGAAGATTTCTGAGAAACGCTTAGTTATAACGGACGCAAAAACCAAAACACCGATCTGCCGTTTGATATTTTGTATTGTTACACCAACATATAAAAGGAATAAACGAACTAAGCAACTAAGACTAAGGTCTGTAAACAAATATTACAATAATAAATCGTTATGTTACTTCTGACGATGTTTCAATCTTCTTTCTGAACAGCGACCGATGAGACGATGACTGTCGTATTGATGCTTCCGCGAAAATCGAGGAAGTTGATTTTGAGCAAACAACCAAGAATTGATCGTTCAATCTTCAACTCCATTGACACTCCCCGGCAAAAAAGGGATCCAACCCTTTTTTCCTTCACGACCAATGCACGTTGACTTGGATGCCATTGCGAGAACCTGGGTCACACGGACAGAGCTGAAATGGAAAACAAACAGAAAAGCCAACACACCACAAGCATACCCACAGCACAATCTCACACATCGCTGACGACCTGCGCCTCCAGACAGAGACCTCCTCTTGACATCTTGCAACACAATCGCCACTTACTAGAATGACTCTTGCAGAATGCAACGTGACCATAGCACCACCTCATGATACTCTTCAAGCATCCTCTTTTCTATTCACTATCAATTATCACTGAAATCGCTTGTCACTCATTCTGCCTCAGTTCTAGTAGCGGTGACGCATGCGAGCCTCAGTCGTTTACACTCTTTCTCCCCGGCGTGTCGGACCGCAGCTAACAATTATCTCCGTGTGCATTTCATTCTCAGCAATAGCCTAGCCTCCCCGGCGTATACGACCCATCTGCTGTCCTTAACATCAATCAATTCATTCACGGATGTAGAAGACTGG